AGAGCTGTCACTTTTAATAAGATTTAAATCGTTTTTATGATTTAAATACTTTTTTCGATTTAAATCATTTGATCTTAAATCTTTTTACGGAAAATGATTTTTGATTTAAGATTTAAATCTTCATGAAAACTATCTTTGATTTTGAACTTAAAAATATGATTTAAATCTTTTAAAAAGATTTAAATACTTTCGAAAAGATTTAAATCGTTTCCGAGTGATTTAAATCTTTTAGAGACGATTTAATTAATACATATATAAACGTCTACCGAAATAAAACCCGGGTTAATTAACTTAGTCAGGTTGAAATAAATCAAGGTATGTATTAATTAAATCGTCTCTAAAAGATTTAAATCACTCGGAAACGATTTAAATCTTTTCGAAAGTATTTAAATCTTTTTAAAAGATTTAAATCATTTTTTAAGTTCAAAATCAAAGATAGTTTTCATGAAGATTTAAATCTTAAATCAAAAATCATTTTCCGTAAAAAGATTTAAGATCAAATGATTTAAATCGAAAAAAGTATTTAAATCATAAAAACGATTTAAATCTTATTAAAAGTGACAGCTCTGTTTGTAAATCGCCACAATCAGCTTCTCGTTTATTGCTAAAAAAATGACTGTAAAAAACCCCAAAAAACCATTTTTTACATGTTCCATAATTTTACACTTTTGCCGTCTATTAACGATCCTAGAGATTGTTTATAATTTTGTATTGCTGTATGTCATCTGTCTGTTGGTCTGTCTGTCTGTTCCTTTGTCTGCCTGTTCCTTTGTCTGTCTGTCCATCTATCTGTCCGTGTGAACGATAACTTTGTTTAGAAATGTCCGATCGCTTCGAAATTTGGTACACAAATTCTTAGTTAAAGTAAAATTGATGTTTATTAAAAAAATTTGTTTGGCGCATGCGCAATCCAATTTTTTCAATTTATTGTTAAGGTATTTAAATGGAATTTTGTATGTAGGCACCTCGAATAAAAGTAAAACTAATGTCCATTAAAAAATTGGGTTTGCGCAAGCAGAATCTAATTTTGAGTGCATTTCGACAAAAATTTAAAAAAACGTGGTATTGTGGCCACTTTGTCCGTCCCTCGCTCCTACCTATCCACACTAATCTAATATTGCACGTTTATTTTTTTGTGAGCGGGGCTATGATGCGATGCTATGGTCGGAGCGATGGTCGGCGCTCCGTTGTGTCCGCACACTTTGAATGGCGCGATAAAATGATCAGGCTCCAGTTTGATCTTAGTTTCAGGATAAATAAGTATGTTTCAGCTGACTCACATCATGTCTGAATAAGAAAACTGCCACCGTTTTGCGTAGGTAGGTGTAGGAAAGAAAGAGAGCGAGAGAGAGTACGCGCTTTGTTATCCGGGAAGTCGCACGTGGTTTAATAACCACACTTTTGTGTTTTGGCGGCAGGCTTGTTATTGTTTTACCTACGTTACGATGGCGATAACTAAAATCCTATCCCAACAAGAAATCGTTTTAATTTTCTTCCTGGAATTAAGTAATTTTAATAATTTGAGTTAGTCGGAATATTACATGCGCTGCTGAATTTTTCAACGGAGTCCAAATTAGTAATTAATTTACAGTCTCGCACCCTAATTCTATTAATCTCACGATTTTAATCTTTTATCTCTTGAGCGGAGGCCAATAAACTGGGATTTGCACGTTTGCTTTATTTATAATCTTTTTGAATTACCGTTGTCGTTAGCATTCGCGATTTAGATTATTAATTGAAGTTCACTGAACTAATTCTTTTTATCAAAACGTAATTCTTCGCGTCAATTTCCATAACAAACATAAAACACTCGATAGTGATTTTCGTGTTCATTAACACTAACGGTTCCATGAGAATATCCATAACGAAATCTTTTACACCACGTAATTTTTCGCGACTGAATTTGAAATTTTAACAACTTAAAGACCACCTGGTCCAACTACGCGTTATCTACTCAAAAACATTTTTATTTGCTCGGCGCGAATTCTATCTTGGTTAGTCGCGTATTGGCCCACGTTTCTCTCTCAACCCCCTCAATCCTACGACGTTGATTTTATGAAACTACAGCCACGTCCATGTCCGAATCTATCCCACCAATAAAATTCGAGAAAACCAAATTGAGAGAAACCTCGAACTTAATTAGCAGAAAATTCCGGCAAGCTTGGCAGAAATCCAGTACCACACTTGATAACGACGGATGCAAAATAAACAAAATGCGCTTGAAATGCTGGGTAATTTCGTCTTATGTCGCGAACAGTTTGGCGCTTTCGACCTTAACATGCATGTAACTTGATAGAACCCCACTCGGAAACCATTCGCCAAATAAAAATTGAAAAAATTCAGGAAATAATTCGCTAGCGGGTTCCTGTTACAAGCGACCAATAAACATTTTAAAGTAAGTAAGGGAATTGGTGGAAGTGTTTCGTTTATTCCACATAAGAGAAGCGGAAAGAAGGAAACATAGTCCTGGAGCAGGTGTTAAGGGAGAAGTTCCATGTTGGCCCATTTTAGTGCAAGAATAGCACGTTTGGAATTTTCTCCTGTTTAACTAAAAATTGTAAGGCCATTTTCTGGGAGATCTCCTACAAAAAATATGTGTTACTCTAAAGTGCATAACTGGATTTTTTTTTGTTATTCAGGGTGTTCCAAATTTCTGTTATCTTGAGAAATGTAATTTTTTTAAATAGTATGCTAGGATAGTCGATGCCCCTTCATGCATAAATAAGAACATTAGCTTATAATTATTAAGTTCTCACTATTATGTATTGTATCTAATAATAAATAATGATAAACTGAAAGCAGTGTACCAGGAATATACAAACCGCCCAGCCATCGCTTCAGTTTATCTCAAGTTTATGATTGTTATTTCCTGCACTAGATATAATATCAATGTTTGGGTTGCAAATTTCAATGAACAAACACAGGTCTCAAAAGTTTTGCTTATTAGGATTTTTCTTTCCAAACCTAGACTAAATCACCCCATTAGAATTGATTTCATGCCAAAATCACGGTAAAACGAAATTTATCAGACGAGTAAATCTTTACAGTGCTGGCAAAAAGTGATTTTTATTTTGTTGCAGTTATTATTTGGAGAGCACTCATGTTCTCGGTGCGGCGCGTTTGTGTACGGTAGCAAAATTTTGGTCTACGTCGAAAATTGTCATTAATACAGTCAATGACTAAATTTAAAAACAACAAAAACCAAAGTCATTTTTTGTCGAATTTCATAAAGAAACCAAGCACATACTTTCACAGGTTAGTTTTGTTGGGGGCGAGCTTTATTATGGGTGAAAGAAACAATTTTCTTAGAAGGTAGTATTTCGTCCCAGGTTTCAATTTCACAATTACCACATCATCGGGTTCAAGAGATCAACAAAACTTAACCCGCTGAATTTTGTAACAAGTTTCAAAGCCGAGCCCTCTATGGAGTGAACCGTAGGCCTCGAGTGACCACATTTGCTTGAAACACGGAATATAATATTCGAAGGAATTTGTCCCTCAGGAACCTCATCCGGAACTTCAATGGTAAACATTCCGGACTCCCCGAAAATAACGACAGCAAGCCCACCGAATCTAAAACTAACACTAAACTAAAAGTAAAGATTAAACTACAACTCCAATCGAGATCATCAACTCTACGTGGATACTCGTTTTGGACATTCCGCTTTGAAGATATTGTACTGTAACATATTTGACAGTATTTAAATTTTATCTTTCCTGCTATTATGCATTTCATTAAAGGAGAAAAACGCATTGCAACTATGCAGCCAAAAGAAGAAGGTAGCGAGGTTTTTAGTTGAGGCGGCAGAATGATTGTGGCATGCAGAGTGTATGTATGTGTTTAATTCATAAATATAGGTGAATGTATCCTTTATTTTTTCCTTTGTAATTAATGTAATTACTGTAGAATGTAGAGTAATTGTTTTGTATTACTTGGTTGTCGATTAAATAGAATGTTTGCTTTCATAAATTTGAATTGGCAGGATCTATGTTTTAAAATTGCACAATAATTGTGTAAATGTGATCAGTTATAGTAGGGACCATATTTAGGGGTAGATTTGTTGTTTACTGTAGATTGCGCGTGCGAGATGTTTTCGTTATGTAGATACGTAGTAATTTAGTAGCTCACGTAAATTCAATGAAGTACGTTACTAGGCATTGCAAGTTGCACAATTGCATTAATGGGAATTTTCCTGTTCCCTATGATTCTGTTGGTAGGTTTAGGATTAACATACAGAGTGTTATTCATACAATTTAGAGAATGTTATAGTTTTTGATACATAGGTAGTTAAAGTGGAACTTGTGGGTAGTATACCAGGTGTTTAGATAATTTAGAATATCTGGGAGATTTTGTGTACGTGTTATGTATTTTATCTTTTAAAAATTCGCAGTAACTGGATGCATTGGAACGACTTGTGGCTATTGAACTTGCAAAAGTAAAAAAAAACACAAATAAACCACAGTAATATATTAAAACCTCGAGATTTTAATATATTATTGTGGTATATTGGGGTTTTTGTTTTACTTTTGCAATCTATTGAACGCATTACAACGCTTATTCAATGAAACCAAATCTCGGAAAGTGGCTGTAAAAAAGAGAGACGGAAAGCAGCAAAAAGGACCTAAATTTCTATGGAATGACATAAAAATGCTCTGAAGAAGTTGTGTAATACTCTTGTAAGCACTTAGGGACTTTGTATAGTTTTCAAGTGTTTCCCAGATTGTTCAGGTTTTTTTACTTGCCGCACCGGTCACTTTACGGGCCGCACCTGTGACATTCCTAAATGTCTATAATGACTCCTGTCATCACTGACAGATTGACATTAATCAAAAATTCTACACAAAAATTGAAATTTTATATTAAAAATACGATTTAGGGTAAAATTTAATACAAAACTCG